AAATCGACTTCTTACTTGAATCTCTAAAATCGACCATAAATGCTCAATAATGTTGAGATCTGGGGATTGTGGTGGCCAGATGAGATGCTCAACTTCATTAGAATGTTCATCGTGCCATTCTTTAACAATTCTAGCTGTATGGATTGTTTTATATCTCAGACCACCCATGGTTCTTGCCATGTACTCATCACCAATATTTTTGTAAATATTAGTTTTATAACATTATGTTGGCAAGCAACCTGAGAAAAATAATGTTTTATTAAAAAAGTCAGACACTGCATTTCAATATGTGTAATAAACAGAACAACTACAGATTTATATAGCCAAATAACTACCAGTATATCATTTTCATAAATAAATATTGAAAGTTTAGGTGGTATCATCTTGCAGTTTTGTTTTACTTTTACTCATTTATTGCATTATAAGGTTATATTGTTTTTTTTACCAATTAAATTGTTTGTAATTGTTATTTTTAATTAAGATATCTGAATTTATTCTCAGTTTGGAGTATCAAGTAAACTCGGCAGACCTCAGTAGCTACACCCTAGACGTGTCTGTTAACTCCAAGCAAGGAAATTATGTGTTCACTCGTGGCAAAGAACTTGGCAAGACTACCATTGACTTGTCCGTCATTGATCTGAATAAGGCACATACAGAATGGTAACTTGTATTTTTCAGAACTCTGAGTTTAATTGCTATGACTTGAGGTCTTCTCTTTGAATGATATTCATAAAACAGTCTGTAGGTTATGTTAGGCTATAAATTGAACAACAGAAGACAGAAAAGGTGTTTTTTGTATGCAATATGTGGCTGCAGTTTCACTTAAAATGTAATATATAAGATACTTAAACTCCAAACTGGCCATGTGAAAGGTTAAAAAAAAGACACCAGTTAGGGAACCATCTGGGAACTTTAGTCTTAATTTTACCGTGCTACCACTGTTTTGTAGAGATATACTTAATGGTGTTGACCTACCATCATATTGATAGTTTCTAGGTGAGACATTTGACAGTATTTAGACTAAACATGAACCTTGTCAGCTTCAATGGGAAATGAAAGAACTGAAGGAAAGAGCTCTCTTTACCCACTGGTAATAGAAGACCTGTAGATCAAATGGTCAGGAACTCACAGTGAACTAAATATAAATAGGTACTAAACATGTTGCCCTAACTAACTACGGCATATCCTGACTACTCTTACAAAGTCCATTAATCCTCTATATAAATAAATAGAAATATGAAATATTTAATATACTGTCGTAAGCAAACAGACTAAGTTTTTTTTTTTGTTTGTTGTTAAGCATAAAGCTACACAATGGGCTATCTGTGCTGTGTTCACAACTGTTATTGAGGCCCAATTTTTAGTGTTATAAGCCCCTAGACTTACTACTGAGGCATCGGTGGTGGATGGTCCTTCTGGTAATAAAAACTCATTTGTTTAAAAATATGAAAGTAAAAGGCCAGTTGTAAATTTTTTAGCTCTTTCTAATGTAAAAAAAAAGAGCAAGTTAAGTGACAAGTACAAAATGCTCAATGTCTGTTTTGACATTATATTTGTATTATGATAATTAGAATAATCAAGTTCCATCACACCAACATTCAAGTAACTCAAACCGATTATATATGTAAGTCATAAATGCATTTTAATCTGTCGTTGTCATATGAGCAATGATAAATACAATTTGATACTTATGAATCACTTTTAGTCAAAATTAACTCTCTGCTCAAATATGACGAGTATAGCACACGCCAATCAAGGTCACAAATGCTAAAAGCATAACACAAAAGTAACTTGCATTCCTTTTTTTCGTGATCTGATGTTACTCACAGCAAAGGAATGCTTCCTTAAAAATGCTAAATTTGTAGGAAATATTTTACTTTAGTTGTAAAATTCACAAACAAGTTTTGCACGGATTGAAAAAGAGAGAAAACAATATTTGTGGAGGACAGTAATAAATAAAAACTTAAACAGCCTGAATAAACAGTTCTGAAAACAGAGCCACTACTAACGAAGACGATGACCCGAGTGTGAATACATTCAAAGAAAAAGTCGGCCTGAATGAAGGTGATGATTCTTGGGGTTAAACAGTGTAATGGTGAAAGAATTACCAAAGAAAAAAATTCTCTTATAAAAGTAGTCCTTGTTTTGAAATAAATTTAAAAGCCAATCGCCAATAATAGCAAACTGTAAATGAATATGAAAGTATCAGTGGAATATATCTTGAAAGAATTACCAAAGAAAAATATTCTCTTATAAAAGTAGTCGTTGTTTTGAAATAAATTTAGAAGCCAATAGCCAATAATAGCAAACTGTAAATGAATATGAAAGTATCTGTGGAATATATCTTGAAAGAATTACCAAAGAAAAATATTCTCTTATAAAAGTAGTCCTTGTTTTGAAATAAATTTAGAAGCCAATAGCCAACAATAGCAAACTGTAAATTAATATGAAAATATCTGTGGAATATATCTTGAAAGAGGCTAAATGAATGGAATACAACATATTTTTACCTATTTGTAATATTAAATCAGATACTGAATCCAATATTGGATTAGTAAGGAAAAAAATTAAAGCATAAGAGTATATATGTGTGAATGGTGGTCTAAACGTTCCAAGTATTGGTGAGAGCCTTGTATTTAGGCCCAGGGGGTGCCTGGTATGAGCAAAAGTTTGTAAACCATGCACGTGTTAATAATGTTTTTCCTCTGTCTTTTGATTTACTTTGTTTACTTAAGGTACTTCAATTTCTGAAATGATGTGAAACTAAACAGAAGCTATATGACTACATCAAAATATTATGCCTTGGGTAGTATGGCTTTAAAATTGTGACTATTTTTTGTGTATTGAAACTGAATAACTCGGAGAGTAACCCCTTCAATAACAATGTGATTACACCAACAATCTTCATGGAGGTATATTTTTTGTTCAAGATGGCTACACCATTTGTGAACTTGTTCATCTGCATAGGTCATCCAAGATTGTTGCACCTCCACAGAATATGATTCAATATGTTTACCTGAATTACATCAAGAATTACATCACTATGCAAGAGGCCAAAACTGATTTACTCTAGCAAGATTGCTAAGTAAGACTTTAAGTCTTCCAGAAAATGAGTGACAATACAGTTTGCCCATGAAGAAGATAGGTCCACCTTTCAAAAGCTCTTGGGTTAAAGGGTTTTTATCATTCTGTATCATGACTTATTGAACCTACTTGTTTCTCTGACATCATGAATACAGATGTCATGTAACAGGTTATATATATTATTCTTAAAAGAAGTGCAATTAGATTAAGTGAAATCAAAAACACACACAAAAATAAACATGTTATTACAATGATCTCACAAAATACCTTAAAAGAAATATGATTATGATCCTACTCAATATGAATGTACCCAAATTATGAGTTAGAGGTAATAGTGGAAAGGAAACTATAGATCAGAGTCAAAGTGCATTTGCTACAACCAATATGATGGACAGAAAATCAGAATAGCAAAACATTTTTTATACCCGGTGTGGCTTTGTTTATTCAAATGTACCAAACTGAGTGATGTGTTAGGTCATCAAGAAATTAATGTCGCTTTTTTTTTAAGATGAAAAAA